AGTTGAGGACAAGATGAATATAGGTACTTAATCTTGTCAACCATATAAAAATTGGCCGCTAGTTGTTTAAATCAATTGTGTCTATAAAAACTGAGCAAATGATGAGGAGTAGTAGAGTTGTAGTACAATATTATACCATCACGAAAGATGTGGTTAAGGGAGAGTTAACATCCTCGCCAATAATTCAATAACTTATTACCAGAGATTAAACTCACCACCAATTTTAAAAAAGTTCATTTATCATGCGTTCTTCTTGGATGTTATGTTTTTTATTCAGTTTTGGACAAACTCGCCATGCATGCTTCAATAAGACGTCCATAAACTCTCTTTAAACGAATGGATTTAAATTTCATATCAATTTATCTGAATTAGAACAAAAATAGGGTAAATACAATATATTAGCCACAACTATTATGAAGCGGGGAATTATAGCCACAACTATTGAAATTCAAATTATTAGCCAAATGTTAACTATCTGTTAACAATTTCGTTAGTAATACTGACTAAACTTTTATGTTTTGAAGTTATAAACTAAAAGCATTCCTACGTGGCCGCTGTCGTGGCCGATGACGTGGCCTTCTCCGTCAAAAAATCAATAACAGTAACAGACAGTTAGCCATATCTTGACCTGCAACAATAGTTATGGCTAATAATTTGAATTTTCATAGTTGTGACTATAATTCTCCGCTTCATAATAGTTGTGGCTAATATATTGTATTAAAAAAAAAACGATAGACTTCCAATAGTATAGTTGCTTGTTATCTACTAATCTTTATGCAAAATGATTGATTTTGACGAAACCTGGCACAGACGGGTTTCCTTAATGCAGAGGATTACTATTAGTGGGCATAAAAGTGTAAATTGTGGTCTTTTGATTCACCTCTTTATTTATGCTTTGGGACTGGCGTAAAGAGGCGGAAAAGGGAAAGTTTGCATGATTATGGTTGGTTAAGGCATACGTGGTGGGCTCGGGGCATCCAAGCACGGCCCACGGACAGCAGCTAGAAGCCCATGAAATAAACAGATGAAGACAAATTAGAAATAAAAAAAAAATTAACACGATCACGGTGGGACTCGAACCCACAATCTCCCGCTCCGGAGGCGAGCGCCTTATCCATTAGGCCACGCGATCAATTGATGTTATATTTGCATCCATTTAATTTATATTCTATACCTTCTGACCCTCTGAGCTCTACCAACAATCTTTTTATATTTACGAAGGTGATATAGTTTAATAATTATTAGAGTAAGCCTAATCTAAAATAAAAATCATGTTGGTTTTAGTTCTGTCTTCACCTTTGTCACTTCCCATGCTATCCACCTCATTTGTATCGTTGTTCCTATGCCATGTATTAAACATACGATTAGTTAAGACTTAAAGAGTCCTACCTTGTCCTTTCTGATTTTCCAACAACAAAGAGAGGATATATGTTGGGAGATATTGGCAATTTAGCATGCTGCATGATCTGCGCCTATAGTAGTCTGGAATTTGGAGTTTGGACGGTTCTTGTTGAATGAGTTAGTGGCGAGGAAGGTTGTTAGTGATACTAGCCGAATCGAGTTTTGCCTTGTTCAGGTTTGGTTCGTTTAGCTGAACTCGAGATCGGCTCGTTTATGAACGAGTTGTGTAGAGCCAAACACGAGTCAACTCGTTTATTGAATCTTGGCTCATCATTAAGAGCAAAATTTTGGCTCGAGCTAAACTTTAAGATAATTTATAAATTAAATATCATAATATATATGTCATATATGATACATGTGATTAACTGATATTCATGTCATATATGAGACACATTTGCTCACACTTAAATTATTAAACATCGCATTAATTAGGTGAGATATGCAATTTAATAAATCTATGCATTATTAGCAAACGAACTCATAAGATATAGCTCGATTTTCGCATAAGTCGTATTCCAGTTGGCTCGCTAGTTACAATGTTGAGACATCTCATGAGCTAAAAAATGAGATAGTTAGTGAGTCGAACTCAATAAGCCACCCAATCGAACTAGTTCGCTAGCCTCACGAGCTGAACAAGACTGGGATCAAACTCGACTCATTAATAAACGAATCGAGCTTTTATTAAATCGAACGAGTTTTTATCGAGTTGAAAACTGAGTCGTTCACGAATAGCTCGGCTTATTTAACAACCCTAGTCGCAACTATGTATTTATCTATATGTTAAATGTGATTTGTAGTACAAATACAATGTAGACGGTAGAATGATTGCATATTTTATAGTATAAATATATTAATCGTTATTTATTATCTTTTTATCAACATATATCACCAACTACTATCTTATACTCATTCCTTCTAAGCAATTTTTTTTCAAATTCGAGTTAAAAATGAAAGTGGTATAAAGTGATACAAGGACCTATCAGGGTGTTATGAAATTTTTTTCATCGAAATATTTTAAAAATAAATATAATTTTGTAGATCACAAATAACTCAGGGGTCGTTTGGATGGATCATTTTCAAAATGAGGCAATTAGACACAAAAGACTCATTTTAGGAAATAAGTCAATTGATTGAGGAAATTTGCCAAAAATCTGTCGTTTGGAATGGGGTGTGGGATGGGGATATGTGGGTTAGTCCTTTTGGTGAATTACACATTTATCCTTACTCATCCACAAACAAAGGACAAGCCTTCTTCCTCACCTTCCACCCACCCACCCACAACTTTTCCCTTCTCTCTGTCAACTCTCACGTTCTTCTCCGATGAAACAAAATCATGCGAGGCCATTATTGAATCAACTTGTTCCTTCATTCAAAAGCATTATCGAGATTTTTCGAAACCTCAATTCCAATCACCACCTCGCCTGAAAGCGGTGGCTCTCCTTAGGTCCAAAAAAGGAGTCGATTTGGGGAGGAATCTGGTTAGGGATTTGGAGAGGCGCCACCTGCTGTGCACTCCGGCCCTTTATTGACGGAACGCAGGGTTTGCATCACCGTCACCACCACATAACCAGCGAAATCTAGAACTGTCCGTCCTCGTTCAAGAAACAGAGATGGAGAAGCAAGAGGTGGCGGATCCAAAGCTTCATCGCAAACTAATGCAGTGGCAATTGATTGTGTTTCCTAAGACCGGTGATCCGTAGTAAGCTAGACCGCTGCTAAATCAATCCACGGCGACCCACAACACATACAGAATCCTACGAACCCAGAACATATCCTCCCTCTTCGCAAGCCAAATCGAGCAAGGTAGCCAAGTTCTTCGCCTACTAGTGAGAAAGGGAGGAAAGAGAAGAAAGAAAGAGAGGGGAGTTGGTTGAAAGGAAAGGATCAGTGATCTTCTCGCCGATGTAGATCATCCTCTGCCAGGGAGAAAGAGATGAACCAGAGGTGAGAAGATGTAGCGGTTGGGAAGGAAATGGAAAAGGGAAAAAAAGAAAGAAGGATAAAGTTGGAAAGAATGATGAAAAACGCGTCAATGACAATTACCTGCCACCCACCCAGGTTATTTGAATTGACCCCTAATGGATCAATTAGAATTGACCCGGTGCAGATTGCTCCATTTTATTATTTGGCTGCCAAATGAGACAATTTGGCCCAATTGTCTCATTTTGAGGCAATTGGGGCAAATTGACTCATCACTTTGATCCATCCAAACGACCCCTCATTCCATTTGTGTAATTTTTTTTAATCCAGGTTATAACAAACAAAATACAAGTCAATTACAAAAGTAGGGAAAATAAAATTAAAAAAAAAACTTAGTTCTCAAATCTCAACTCAACATAGAGATCTTGCCCCACTTAAAACTAATGGGTATGCACAGTACGTGGACCCACAATAATTTTTTTTTTAAACGAAAGTAATTCATCTACATTTCGATGCTCAAATTAATTGAAGATATAAGATAAATTTGTTCCTAAACCTTATAGAAACGTAGAGAATATAATCTAGAAATGTGTTGTGTGATGAAAGAACGAGAATCCATTTTTCGGAAAGCTCCACTCATCAAAATCCCAGAAAAACTTCGATGGATCATATAATAGTATTTGTTGTCTGCATTCAACTTACATCCCGTACTCCATTAAATGATCCAACTACTTATACAATTAATTAAACCAAGAGCCTCGTTTGGAAGTAGTCTAATTTGGTATGGTTTTTTATTTTAAGCAAAACAATTACAGAGTAGTAAGCACGAGTGAATGTAAGCAAAGAATCAATCGGTACAGTAGTACAGTACAGCCACAAAACAACTGGCTTTTCCTTCTTAAAAATTTGGTCACCACCGCCAACCAAACGCCTCCCATCATAAAAAGTTCAAATCAAAAGAAGAAGGAGAGTCGCTATCACCGTAGACTCCACGCGTCGTATTTTACCCCAAAATACTCCCGCCCACACACAATCAAACCCCATCTGCCCTTCGTCCTTCCTTCCCTTCCCCCTTTTTTTTCCCTTCGCTTTCCCTTTTAGTTCATCCATCTTCGAAGCCACCACCGACGACGACGGATGCTTCCTTCCCCGGCCAACCAAAAGCCTCTCCTCCGAGTCTCCGACAATCACGCTTAGCTTTCTGATCCGGCCACATCAACGGCCCCGATTCCTCCACGTAGGACCCCCAGCCGCGCTTCTTCAATTAAAATCCCGTGTTTCTCGGTCCTTCCATTTCGTTCCTCTTTGGATTTTTTTCATTTCTTCTCTCTCCTCCTCACGCGGCCGGCGAGAATCTACATAGCCACCGCCGATTTCCCTCCTCTCTCTCTCATTCCCCGCGGTCAACGCTGCTCCTCCCAACCGCCGCTGCCGACGACTACCACTACTCCATAACCGGATCTATCCCTCCGATCTGCAATAACATCGATCCCAGAGGCTTGAAGAGGTACGTTTTGAATTTTATCTCCGTTGTTCATTAACTACTTTGCCAACCGTAATTAACAGACTAATTAACTGACTGACAGTCTTCTCCGTGGACTCGGTTGAATAGTTAGGGATTGGGGTTTGAAGTTTGAACCTCTACAACTGAGTGAACGGTCCAGATCGGAGCTTCGAGGATGTCGATCCGGAAGGCGATTGGGACGGTGAAGGACCAGACGAGCATAGGGATAGCGAAGGTGGCCAGCAACATGGCGCCGGAGCTGGAAGTGGCGATGGTGAAGGCCACCAGCCACGACGACGATCCGGCCAACGAGAAGTACATACGCGAGATCTTGAACCTGACTTCTTACTCGCGCGGCTACGTCAACGCCTGCGTCGCCGCCGTGTCGAAGCGGCTGAGCAAGACGCGGGACTGGATCGTGGCGCTCAAGGCGCTAATCGTCGTCCACCGCCTCCTCAACGACGGAGATCCGCTGTTCCAGGAGGAGATCCTGTACGCCACCAGGAGAGGGACGAGGCTTCTCAACATGTCTGATTTCAGGGACGAGGCGCATTCCAGCTCCTGGGATCATTCCGCCTTTGTGCGGACTTACGCTATGTATCTCGATCAGCGGCTAGAGATGGTCCTGTTCGACAGGAAAGGCTCGGCCTCTGGAGGCGGCCGCGGCGGTGGAAGCGGCAGCGGAGGGAGTTCTTACGGCGAATTGGATAGGTATGGAGGAGGAAGAGGCGATTTCAGATCGCCGCCTCCGAGGGCTTACGAGTACAGCGATGGTGACTACAGAGACGGTGGGGCTCCGGGAATGACTCGGAGGTCCAGATCTTTCGGTGATGTGACCGAGGCGGCAGGGGGAAGAGATGGGCGCGATGAGAGAAAGGCAGGAGCCACCACCACTCCGATACGAGACATGACGCCGGAGAGACTTTTCGGTAAGATGGCTCATTTGCAGAGGCTATTGGATCGATTCTTGTCTTGCCGGCCAACAGGGCTAGCTAAAACCAGTAGATTGATACTCATCGCTCTATACCCAGTAGTGAAAGAGAGCTTCCAGTTGTATGCTGATATATGCGAGGTTCTAGCTGTGTTGCTCGATAAGTTCTTTGATATGGAGTACCCAGATTGTGTCAAGGCACTTGATGCTTATGCCAGTGCTGCTAAGCAGATCGACGAGCTCATTGCATTCTACAACTGGTGTAAAGACACTGGAGTAGCTAGGTCGTCAGAGTATCCAGAGGTGCAAAGGATTACTGGGAAGCTGTTAGAAACTCTGGAGGAATTCGTCAGGGATAGAGCAAAGAGGCCGAAGAGTCCTGAGAAGAAAGAGGAGGCACCTCCAGCTTTTGAGGAAGCGCCTGCGCCCGATATGAATGAAATTAAGGCACTTCCTGCACCAGAGACTCCCACACCACCTCCTGCTCCGGCTCCCGAACCTGAGCCTGAGCCTCCTAAGCCACAGTATACTGAAGATTTGGTGAACTTGAGGGAAGATGGTATGACCGCAGACGATCAAGGTAATCGATTTGCATTGGCTTTGTTTAATGGGCCAGCGGGCAATGGTGGAAATGGGTCTTGGGAGGCATTCCCTTCGAACGGGCAGCCTGAAGTGACATCAGCTTGGCAGACCCCGGCTGCTGAGCAGGGGAAAGCAGATTGGGAGCTGGCCTTGGTCGAGACTGCCAGTAATTTATCAAACCAGAAAGCAGCAATGGGGGGTGGGCTCGACCCTCTGCTGCTGAACGGAATGTATGATCAGGGAGTGGTGAGGCAACACGTTGGGACTGCTCAATTGAGTGGAGGTAGTGCTAGCAGCGTAGCTTTGCCCGGTCCAGGGAAGAACACGACCCCGGTTCTAGCCCTCCCAGCTCCCGACGGAACAGTCCAGGCAGTCAATCAGGACCCTTTCGCTGCGTCATTGGTCGTTCCACCTCCTTCGTACGTGCAGATGGCCGATATGGAGAAGAAGCAGCACTTGCTTGTTCAGGAGCAGGTGGTTTGGCAGGAGTACGCGAGGAGTGGGATGCAAGGTCAATCGAGCTTGGCTCGGGTTAATGGAGCAGCAGGTCCTATGCCGTATGGAATGCCCCCTCCATATGGAATGCCCCCGCCGCAAGTGAATGGGATGGGAATGCCTGCTGCCGGGTACTATTATCCTCCTTATTGATGATATCTTGTTGAACTACCACATTATTATCACCTGCAGATAACTTCTTGTTACTTTTGGTTTTATGTTTTGTCTTCGTTAGAGTTTCTTATTTGGTTGTAATACGAATGTGTAATGTAATTTCCACCAATATGTGCACAAACTGGGATGGAGAGAGGGGAAGGATGAGAGGCAGGCAATCAGTTGGGGATTTTGATTGATGTTGGGAGACTTGAAAAAGCTTGATTCTTTATGCTTCTTTTTTCTCCTCTGTTGTAATATTAGAGTTTCTTCTTCTTCTTCTGATCATGCTGTTGTCATCTGGAATATAGATTAGGTTTGATTTGAGCTAGCTTACTCAGAATTTGCTTTGGCGCACCCTGGCTAACCATGTCTCCTGATCTCTGAATGTGGTACATTGATGTGGATGGAGATTGTTTTTGTTTTCCACAAGCCAAGGTTGGAAGTTGGAGCTGAGCTTTGGATTCCCGTATGAACTGTTAAATTATTAGTTTTTATGGATTGAGGCTCCCCACTTTCTGATATATTGTTGTTTATGATCTGGTTAATTGATGGCTCCAACAGAGCAGGAATCATGCCTGTTTACAGAGTGGAATGTAAAGGCAGAGTTGTCTGTTGTTATTTATTCGCAGTACTCTAGACTGGAATGACAAAGCCACGGCCACCACACATGATCCATGACCATGTGGCTTCTTCAATGAAAACCATAGCTTTGATTCGGTGCTGCCGTGACAAAGCAAAATGTGTAAAGTCGGATTCTTTCTTTCCACAAAGTAGCCCACAACGAAGAAAATTATAATACAGGGGGAAAGGGTTTTGGTGGTGGAGGCATCGGTCTGTGTTGGCTTTTTCTTGTTTTGGGTGAGAGCCTGCCTGCAGTCACAACTCACAACCATTGAAATTGCCTGGACAATCTAGATGAAGGACCACCAGGAAACCTGGCAGAACAACCTGGCCGTACCTGTTCCTGCAATCAAGGATTTTGGCCAATTTATCCACAAACCAAGAAGATCATCCATAATTCTTGGAGAAAATCACCACCGAAGTCCTTTATGGCTCTTTACTGATATCTTTCCAGTTTCTCATCAATGAAACAGGAGATGGCTCATGAAATTGTCATGGGTGTCATTACCTCTAAAACTAAGGAAACACATCGCATCTCGCGAGAAGTTCTAAGGTGAGCAAGTAGCACTTTCGGGTTGTGGATAATGGTTACCCACTAACCACTGCGGTGCGGGCTGTGAATAGCATAATTGTAAATTTGTGGGTATGGGTACCCGCAAAATGTGGGGCGTGTAACCACCACAATTTCCACCCCTAGCCATGGGCATGCCGATTGCCGAGTCAGCTGGTTGAGGCTCGCCAGTCGCCATCAACAAATCAACCTTTCAATAGCATGGCATATAAAAATCAGCCCAAGCCATGAAAGCCCAATGGGCCGTCCATCTCAAATACTGATCAGTAGACATAGAAATTGGGTGGGAGGACCACCAAAAAATAAGAGCCCTTTAAGTTGGTTGGCAAATGGGCCATTGATGCGGGCCGCTTTCTTTTGCATTCTTGGTGCATCTCTCTCCAGCGGCTAAAGATTTCGACTTCGAATCAGGATCAAACCCGGTCCAAAATTGTATTTGATTCGAATCGTTTCTTTATGAACAACGTTCCACTTTTTCCTTCCCAATAGCAATTCGATCCCGGGTAAACCAGATCGTTGCCCACCCACATCCGATCACCCTTATCATCGAGCTGATGGTTTATCATGCAATCGACAGTCGCCACCGAACGAATGTCCTCTTCGATTGGCTTTGGATGTTTCCCGTCAGGAGAGCTCTTAGCTCTGTTCACCGCGGTCTCGACTCTATAACACTTGGAATGGAGCCGATTGAAATTTCAAAGAGTAAAGATTAGATTTGCTGTCTTGTTTTTGGGGGAAACTGAATTTGGGCAATGGTTCTTCTTCAACCTCGGTCCGCAAACTCTAACCTAGAAAATAGCATAAAAGGAAACGATAATAATAATAATAATAATAAAATCAAACAAAACGGTCGTTGTCACGCAACCAAAAATTCAAGTAACCAGTCCTTTTCATTTGTTAACACTTTAACCCACCGTTATCATATCAACATTATCCCATTCACATTTTGTCTTTCCTCTTTCTTCCCTTTTTCGGGGGTTTCCCCGGCGCCACTCACTCACTACTCATTTCCCGCTTCACTACTTCCCTCCTTTTGATTATTCCGAGCTGCCCATTTTTATACAATTGCCTCCGGAAGCTCGAAAATTTACCACACTGCCACTCACTCATCTTTCAAAATCGCCTCCGCCGCTATATCCATCAGCGGCCCGACGGCCGCCGGCGAGAACTTCCTAGCAAACAAGAACGGATCCCTCCTCGCGGTCAAAACCGAACCATCAGAACCGTTCGTTTTCATCAACCCTTCTTCATCGCCGTATCTCGGCCGTCCATTCCTCAACCCGTTAATCAGCTCGGGCCCCACCTCATCCGCTCCATACATCCTCGGGTGCCCGCCGTGGCACCCCCTCCAGTCCACGTGCGTCAGCGTCGCCGACGTGGCGCCACGCGGGTCCCGCATGTGGATGAGCGTAGGGAAGTAGTTCTCCTCCGGGTAACACGTGTCCTCCCTCACGCACGTCCGATTGAACTTCCGCCAGATCGTGCGGTCCGCGACCACCATCCGCGCGTGGCTCCGCGTCAGCGACCAGAACTGCGACCCGATCCGGAAATCCTCCTCGAGCCTCACCTCCGGCAGCATCGCGTCCTCCCCACGCGCCGCCCACCTGTCCCTGGCCCCGGTCTCGTTGGCGAGGATCTCGATGAAGCTCTCCCCCGAGCGGGTCAGGGTTTGGTAGGTGAAGTCGAAGGAGTGGAGCGGGATGCAGGACGGGGAGAGGAGGGCGAAGACCGCGTTGGCCGGGTCGTGGAGCAGCGCGTGGGCGAGGAGGCGGCGCGCGGCGGAGGCGAGGGTCGGGGTGTGGCGATTGGTGGGTTCGGAGTGGATGACCCGACCCGCGAACACGCCCGTGAATGGCGGGTCGTAGGCGCGGGTCGGGTCGGCGTGGATGTAGATGTTGAACCGATTCTTATTACCTCTAACTTTCCTCCCGCCGCCGATTGGGTTGAAGAAGAGCTCCCAAAGCGGGGCGAAGGGGAGAGGGGTGGTGGTGAGGAAGAGGAAGGCGATTTTTTGGGGTGGGGGAGTCGGGTTCGGGTTGACCCGGGCGGCGAGGCGGAGGAGGGAGCTGTCGTCTTTGGGGAGCGGGTTGCGGGAGGTAGAGGAGTGGAGCTTGGTACGGAGGGTGGATGGGGGTTTGTCGTCGCCGGCGGCGGGGGAGACGGTGGTGGTAGGGGTGGTGATGGTGAAAACGACGGCGAGGGGGAGGCAGAGGAGGAGAGCACAGAAGAGGGAGAATGGGGTTGGGGTAAGCATTGTTTTTTTTTTTCACCTTTCGGTGGGGAGAAGTGGGGCGAGGAAGGAAAGTGAGAATGGGTTGATGGGTTAATCAAAGCTGGGGCCGGGAAATTTGACAGTTCGGAGAATGGGATAAGACTTAAGAGCCTGAGAGGGAGAGATGGAGAAGAAGAAAATGACAAACAGCGGCGGGCCACGTAGGTATTGGTATTTCGTAAGCTGAATAAATTTAACTATAGAGAGAGGCGCTAGTGATCGAGACGAGTGTGTATGGTATGACTGTGAACGAGTTCCACCCCACCTCGTCTGATGTCAGGAGGAAGATAACGTTTAGATTTCAACTTTAGACTAAAGAAGATTGTTATATCTTGTGTGGGAATTCTACGGTAATGTGTCGTCTGCAGGAGAAAAAAAAAAAAACTATAACAGTTGATGAATTACGAATGTCTTGGGTTGTTATCATAAAAAGATATCGTTGTAGTTGTATGCTATGCATATACGGGTCGAATTCGTTTAGAATTCGTGTTCTCGCTCTTCGTTTTTCTCTTGTTTGTTTGATGTATTATAGGAGGTAAGGTAATTAATTTGCTGGAATTTCCAATGTCTCTGTACTTTTTGGTTAAATGCGTCATTATACGTTTGTGAATCCCATGATTCAAACAATAGGGTTGTGTTATTTATTATCAATTATTGAGCTTTTTCTTTGCAATAAAATACTAGTAAACGTTTCGAGCTGTTATGGAAAACGGCGATGAAGGAGTGGGAGGGAAATTAGCGGGGGCAAAAAGGGAGGCGAATGGTTAGGGTTTTGATTTCCAAGAGCGAATTAGCGTGGGAGAGAAGGGAAGAAGAAGAAGAAGAAGAAGGACACGTGGCCAACATGCAATACAAGGCGGGTACACAACTGGTCTTTGGAAGATTTTTTGGGGGAGGGAAAAGTGGGGGATGGCGGGCTTCACATGCAATCCAATGGAATGGAATGGAAGTGAAGATAAGATGGCGCAATTTGTGACGAATAAAGAGTTTTCAGCGGCAATACCCTTCAGGCGCTGCTACCTAAGAGGGATTAGGGGTGAGGTTTTCATGAGTTATAACTCTGATTATTTATCCCGTCAATTGGATTATTATGATTTAAGGCTCAAAATTTTCAAGTCTTGCGGTCTGGATCCCCATAACTTCCTGAAATTTCATTATGCTCTTCGTCAATTGTGTTCCTCCACCTCTAATAATCCTAGATTCTAAGTCCAAAGTTTGGACTCTAAGTTGTTCCCATAGTCAAATTCCTTAATGACAGTGAATCTCATTGGAAGAGCGAAACTAATTTCCATTAATGTGTATATATAGTAGGTTGGCCTTAATAGTAGTATATAGCCATGAATTTATTTAAGGTTTAATTCACCAGCATAGCCATAACTTTCAACGGTTTTGACAAATATAGCCACTTTTTGAAAAATACACAATATAGCCACACTTTTGAAACTAGATTGACAACTTTAGCCATTTCCGTTAAATACTTTAACGCCGTTAGTAACTCTGTGAAAAACTTGGATGTTATGCCGATGTGGACGCCACCTCGACACCCACGTCAACTCTCACTACACATGGCATGCCACGTCATATTTTAAATTTAAAAATATTTTTTTGAAATTTTAATAAAAAATTTGTGATTCCTCTGCCGCTCGACGGTAGCTTAGAGGTAAAATCCTCTTTCTCGCTGGAAGCTTCTAAACCGAATCAGAGCAGGCAATCAGAGAGGTGATGAAATTGAGGGATGCAGCTCCGACAGGGGCGAGAGGCTAAAGTTCGCCATGGAAGTTTCCTTCCTCCGATGAGGTGGAATCCAAATTCGAGAGAATCATCAGAGAGGGGATGTGATTGGGTTGGTAAAGCAAGGTTTCTCAGGGCCTAGAGTTCGGCCCCCTTTAATGGCAGTTCTCAAACCTTGGCATCTGGTAATCCCCAAATAGACAGATTCTCCCTCTTTCTCCCCTTGTCGGACCACAATCACAAAACCCACAAAAACCCATCTCTCAGAATTCGAGTTCGAGCAAGAAATCTCACTAATCTCCCTCTCCTCCCCTTCCTCTCTCCACCTCCCACCACCCGCACCCGACGGCGGCTAAAGACAGTTGAAGTCTATGCTAATCGATGATTCAAGGTACGACAAAAAGGAAGAGGACAAAGTGTCTGGCGGAGGCTGAGTTTGCGTTGTTGGCGATTGAAGAGAGGGGATGCTCAACGACCATTCAGGGAGCTGACTGGCAGAGGCGCATTATGCAGCGCCCAGCGGCAGAGGAGGCCTTCTCCCCCAACCCAAAGTTACCGGATCTAGATGACAAACAGAAGGGTACCCACCGTAGCGAAGTTACTCATAGCTTGATATTGATATGAGGTAGGAAAGAAGAGAGAATGAAGCTGGCGACGACGAGACCGACGACTCGGGGAAGAAGAAAACAAAGAATTCCAAACGACGGAAGAGGGAGATGGATCGCTGGAGGGTTTCTCGAAGAAGAGGGAGAAGCCGACTTTTTCTTTGTTTATTTATTTATTTGGAGTATTTCCACCAAGGCATGATTTTGACGGAAAATCACCATGTCAGCGGAAGTAGTTAGTCCAGTCAGCACTTCAAACGATTCCGTTAAATTTATTGACGGAATGACTATTTTAGTATATTTTTTCAAAAAGTGGCTATATTTGTCAAAATCGTGAAAGTTATGGCTATGCGGGTGAATTAAACCTTTATTTAATGTGACTATAACAGGAGTTAGGCGGATGGATAATGGAATAGAATAATAGTTATAGTCGAAGAATCAACCAACGTGAAATTTAGAAGGTTGTATATGTTAGAGAGTGGTATAAGATCTAGCATAACCCAGGGTGGAACTTGGATTTTGAGACCGAAGGGGCCGAAAATAATTAAACAAAATGTATGTGGTCAATGGGGATCAAACTAGTGTGCTTTAAGACACAAGTCAATCTTGACTACCATTAGACCACATGGCTATTGCAGGACAAAATTTACATAACACATTGACTTATGAAATTTGTATTAAATATCATTAAAGTTCTAGGGGCCGGGAACAATCGGGGGGGGGGGGGAGGGGTCCACCCGAGGTTGAGTGTAGCTCCGCCCCTCGCATAACCTTCTCCCAGCAACTCGGGTTATTGGGACCAACTGGTTTATGACATGGTATCAGAGCTGTTTTGGCCAAGTGGTCGTGTGTTCAAATCTCCACGACCCCCAATTAACAGTTGATTAAAGCACAAGGTATGGTAGGCATGTGCAAACTTCAAGTCCATGTTTGGCTTTCGTTTGAGGGGGCGTGTTAGAGAGTGGTATAAGATCCAGTACAACCTTCTCCCAACAACTCGAGTTATTGGGACCGACTGCTTTTTTTTATAATAACCTTTTACTAGGTGACCCGTTTTACCCGACCTGTTTGACTTGTTTAGGGACTGACGGGAATAAGTATTCTCATCGAACTGACCTATCCCGACCTACCCTAATATTGCTTAAATTACATGTAATAATTACTTAGAATTTTCCTTTTATGACATCATATTTTAGCTATAATTAAAATTATAATAATTTAGTGAAAACCTCAATGTCTCTACCGATTTAACTACATTTATCATCTTATGGTTTGTTTCTTGGTTTTATATTGAAAATAATAAAATTTTCCAATTTTTTCATATAAATTACATACGAATTGTTACAAAAGAGTTGGCCTTAGGTTGTGTATATGTATTAAATACTGGCCAGCAAGACAGCAACAATTAATTAATAACAAAGAGGAGAACAGTTATCTTACATTGTGCATGATCTCAAAATTTAGGAAACCTTGAATTTACATTTCGTGTCGTCTACAAATGAAATTAGTAGTAGGGTAAAATATGTACACCACTTGACACTTCTATCGGAAATTAAAATTGCGTCAACAATCATTTGAAAGAAAAAAAAGTATACATCAACTGTCAAGAACCAGTTGATCTCAATAATTCAAGTTGTTGGGAGAGGTTCAATCGTGGATCATATACCGTTTACTAACACCCCTTCAAACTCAAGCCATTCATATAGGCTTGGAGTTTGGACAGGCACAGGTCCGGACACCTTGTGTTTAACAAAAGGCTCTGATACCATATCAAGAACCAGTTGATCCCAATAACTCGAGTTGTTGGGAGAGGTTCAATCGTCAATCATATACCGTTTACTAACCTCAACGAAAAAATCACTCGCTAAATTGTACTTCGTCACCTGAAAAGATCGAGGAAGTCGGAGATTCCACAACAGACGACAAATTCGATTCGCCAGAGGTCGACAAACAACAAAAGTGAAAATCAATTTGCAACCTCCGAAGAAGCGACAGCGTCGAAACTTGATCCTCCTCACCTTTCTGCTCTTCTTCCTCCAGCTCCCCAACCGTCACGGCGGCCAAGAACCTCTTCATATACTCTCCACAACACTCTTTCCCTTCACAAACCACCTTCCACCCTTCTTCCTCCACCACCTCCTCCTCCGCCGCCGCCGCCGCCGCCTTCTCGTACATCACCGCCGACTCGTCAAACTTCAACACGTAAGCTCGATCGCAGCCTTCGTACAGCCGTTCCCCTAACGAATCAATTATGTAGTAAGCATCGGACTCCACCTTCAGCAAGAAGAAATGATCGTTCCAGCTCACAATGTACACCACCGCCACCTCATCCTCCCGTTGACCGCTGACTTTGTCCCTACTATTGCTGACGTGGGACCAGACCTCGTCAAACGACGTCGCGCCACTTAAGTTGTGGAATTTCTCCGGGCTGAAGATCCCGGTGAAGGAATCGTCCGGGGAGAGGGTCAGCGGCCGCCGGAGGTTCGCGAGGACGGTGTCGAGGTCGAAGTGGTTGTCCGGGAAGGAGCTCCGGTGGGACTCGTCGTGGCAGAGCTTCCGCCACTCCGACGAGCCTTCGGCGATCAGGCCGTCGAGCTGGGGCCGCGTCGGGATGGATCGAGGGTGGGAGTGGAGCCAGTGAGCGAT